ACCCCACCCACCACCCCGATCGCCACCGCCATCGACAGTTACTCGCCAACCACCACCCAAACCACCAGACAACCATACTACTAGAAAGCCCTCACTACCCTCTACTCAACCCACCCAACATCGAGCATCAATGCTTTCTGAGTTGGCTATATTTACACTTCAAAACTACCTATCCAAATCCACAAATATTGGCGGCACAGCCTCCGCCGGTGATACCCACAGATTACCCACGTCACAAGTGGATTCTACTCGTCTGGCGCCCTTGTCCACGATCTTCTAACATCAAATAATGCTACAAATCAGAATCTACAGGTCCATGTTTCGAACCCAGCAAGAACACAGCTTTCTGAACCATTTTTCGGCGTTGGCGGTAGAAGTCAAGATTGTGGACCACCCATTCTCGAACCTCTTCATCAAGGCGCATCCATTTTCCATTTTAGCGACCCCATTTTTCGAACCAAGTTGCTGGGTTCATTCCACTAATTTTGGCTTGGAAAATGTTGTTTGTTTCAAGCAATTAGAAGAAAATTGTTGGGTCAATGGTGTTGAAAATTGTTGTTCGAGATGGTAGCAATGGTGGTAGCGTTTGCGGAGACAACAGTGGCGGTGGATGGCATAATTTTAGTGTTGGGGAAGGGTGGGGTATTTGAAGAAGATTGTGATTTTTTTCTTTTATTTATTGTTTTTAAAGGGAAATTAATGTATGGACGGAAATGTCTCTCCTTAAATTGGTCAAAATATCCCATTTCTTAATTTTTTAGGTTAACTAACTATCAAATCCATCCATTTGGACCTATGCTACATATTTTTGAAAAGTTTGGGACATGTGGTGACACAAAGTAATGGTTAAGGTGAAGTCTGCAAAAAACAAAAATGTTTGGGACTCCAGCGACAATTTTCCCTATTTTTTGTGGAAAACATGATAAAATGTGAATGTAATTAGGTGGTGTATGTAATAAGAGGTACAGGTGATGAGATGGGATAGATGTGTGTGATGGGATGGGGTGGGTGGGTTTAAGAACCCACCACGATTTTAGGTTACGTGCAGTCGAAGCTATGCATCGCGCCTATATAAAGCACAGCCCTTTTGCCTCTCTTAGTTTTTAACAAGATCTCGCAAGCGCGTTGATTTTGTATGGAACACAAGTGCCACATACATGTAATTGTTTTTCATTTTTTACATTACTTTTCAAACTCTTATGTTCCATAATTTCAAATCATGTGCCTAACGTATGCTAATTCCACCTAAAACCACCATTTTACTCTATTAAACCCCCAAACATAATGCAAACTATACATGAAATTATATGAATGATCAAATAATCTAATAAAGAAATATATAGATGAAGATACCCAACTGAATTAAACATACAAAAATATGAAAAAGTCCTAAACTAATGCATTAAAACAAATATCGTATGGATTTGAGATTCATTTATTCTATACTGGATGCATTTGGTTTTGACCAGTTGT